TGGACGCGGCGGCGGGTGGGCGGGGCGTTGAGGCTTCGCGGCGACGCGAGTCCTGCGGGGTTCCGAGCGCGGCGTCTCTAGGTCCGGCTGCGGGGCTGCGCTGCTTCGGAAGCCTCCCTCGGCCGCGGGCGCGGGTGGCAAGGAGGTCAGGGTTGACAGTGGCGAAGGTGCTGCTTGACCCAGCTTCGGTTGGCGCCTCCGTCCTCTTGGAAGCCTCTTCCTTTGGCCTTCGAGTCTAACCAGCTGAACCCAATTCTAACAAGAATCCTGCGGTGTCATTCTCCTCTCCCACCCTTGATGTCCCAGCACTCTTGGTATTTTGAGAGCTGGTATCTGAACAAATTCCTTAGCCCTCCACACCCACTTTTGGTGTGTAAATGCTTGGCTTGCGTCTGATAGAATCCCTCTCCCCCTGATGTCTCAGTAATTTTCCGTCCTCACCACTCATTCTTGATTATTTTGTTTTGTTTTGTTTTGTTTTGTTTCCCCTACTTCAAGTCTTGACTCCTAATTGCGATAGATTTGAATAAAGAATTAACAATGGGCGCTGGGGCTGCGGCTCAGCGGTAAAGCTCTTACCTACCCATCCTGCCTAAGGCCGTGGTTCAGGCTCCAGTATTGAGGGGAGAGAGGAGAATTCATTATGTTTTAACAAGAGCAATCCCACTAACCCATTTCCTAGGAGGACGAAAGCTTAGATTTAATAATCTCAGTTTCCTAATCTGTAAAATGAGGGTGTTGATAATCCCTGATCTGTTATCAGGGGAAGTGGTAAAGACCAGAAAAAAATACATAAATTGCCTAATAGTTAAACCACTACAGAAGTTAAAGGTAGCTTTCCTCATGTCATAGTTTACCTTCTTACAAATCACAAAATGTATCTGGTATGGTTCAGACTTCCTGTAAAACACCCCTAAAGTCAATGGAGGGAAAAAAACACATTAAACTCAAGGAGACTAAAGACATTGCTCCAAATTACCTTCCCAACCAAAATATTTCAAGAAGCATGTTTTTCTTTAAAAGGACTGAATTTTGGATTTCAACTTGTTCGAACATCTTCCAATATCTTTGAACAGTTTACACCTAAGAAAGATATGACTATTGTTTATTCTGTGGCTTCTCTTACTTCTAGAGGTCACAATGGAAATATTTCTGAAATCTATGTATTTAATAGCCATAAAACATTTATTGAGCATCTACTACGTGCCAGATTCAATCTAGTGTTTAGAAAACTTTTGGTTTGGTTGGGAATCTCATAAGTTCCCTGGCTCCCTCAAATAGCAAAGCAGTCCTTCTGCCTCTGCCTCCCTGGTAGCTGGAGTTACAGGTCTGCACTACTGCACTTGGCATAAGCATTTATTTTTTTTTTTTAATTTTACAAATGGTAGTGGCCAGGGATATAGCTCAGTGGCACAGTGCCCACCTGGCAAGCACAAGGTCCTGAGTTTGATTCCTGGTACCCCTCCCTCCCAAAATTGTATTAATGGTTTATGTTCATTATTTATTCATTTAATGTTCTTTAAAGTTCTACAGAATTTACCCATTAAAGTATGGAATCCAGTTGTGCCATTGTCCTATCAATTTCAGGACATTTTCATCACCCCTAAGAAATTCCCTAAACTGTAGTATTCTTTACCCAGGCAACCTGGCCCCAGGCAACATCTTTCTGTCATGGTGTAGGTCTGTTGCCGAGTCTCCTCTCCTCTGGTCTAACTGTAATTACGTAGCCTTTCATCAGTTCTTCCCCATCTCCCTCCCTCAGGTCACCAAAGTCTTAGGTAACCACCATTCTGTTCTGTTCCTCTGTGAGATCAGCTTTTGTAGATTCTCCAGATAAGTAGATCATGAAGTATTGGTCTTCCTGTGGGAGGCTCAGCTGGTGCTGTCCAGGTTCATCCGCGCTGTCACGAAGGACACGTCAGCCTCCCGCATCCCCGTCACGGGATGGCTGCGTCATATGGTAGTCTATTTCTAGCTTTTTGAGGAACCTCTGCGCTGTTTTTCTTAGTGACTATACTGGATAGTATTCCATAATGTATATGTATCACATTTTTAATGTACTTACCTGTTGATATACATCTAGGTTGATTTCATGTCTTGGCTTTTGTAAACAGTGCAGCAATAAATATGGAAGTGTAGATGTCTCCTTGACATTCTGATTCTTTCCTTTGGATAAGGACCCCATTGTGGGATTGCTGATCATATGGTGGTCTATTTCTTTTTTTTTTTTTTTTTTTTTTTTGTATTTAGTACAGAGTTACAGGATGTACAGGATCTCACTGCGTAGATGGGACTCATAGTGATCCTCCTGTGTACAGCCTCCCAAGTGCTGGGATTACAGGCACATGCCACCACGCCCAGTCTCCATTGCCCATCTCAGTGTGTGCCCCAGGGGCAGGGCTGGCACTGCAAGCCCAGGAATCGAACCCCCAGCCCCTGTGCCTGTTTGCAGGTGCTTTAATCCACTGAGCTGTTTGGCCAGCAAAATTTTTTTTGTAGGGGGGCTGACTCAGGCTGCCTTAAGGTGGGTCTGGTAAGGCATATGGAGCTGGGGATTGAATCACAGTCCCCTGCACCTGACTGGGTTTGCTGGAGCAGACACTTAAACAACTGAGCTGACCTGCAAGCCCCTGGTGGTCTATTTCTAGCTTCTTTAGGAAACCTTTCAGTGGCTTTCATAATGGTTGTACTGATATATACTCTTGCCATACAAAATTTCCTCACTCTCCACATCCCCACCAACATGAAACTTGTCTTTTTGCTAGTAGCCTTCCTAACAGATGTGAAGTGGTCTGTATTCCTCTGGTAATTAGTGATAAATGCAATATTTATTGAGTTGCCAATACTGAGTGTACCAGACCCAACACATAGCTCCGGAGAGTCCAACATGATCAGGATTAGGTCTGTTGCTCAAGGAGCCTGCAGCCCAAGTGGGAAGAGCAGCGTGTGACTAAATAAATTGTGACAGAAGCGGGTTTGTGTGCAGCAGGCATGTGGAGTAGAGTGGGAGGTCTGGAAAGATGCCACAAGGAGGTGACACTGGCATAGTTCTTTGCGGCCCCTCTCTTACCCAAACATTTTCTGAGGGGAGAAGGAAGTGAAATAGTGAAATATTTATTTACAGGGTTTTTGTTTTTAGCCCTTTGGAAGAGTTATAAATAATAACTTTTAAAGATAGATTAATGAACCAAAATCCATTAAAATGCTTTAAGTCACTTCCTGCTATTTTGAATGGGATCTGTGCTACGTGCAAATTATAGGCAATAAATCAGTTGTCATTTGAGGAAAGAATGACTAAGAAATATTTTGGTCTTCAGTGGAGTGTTTTATTCATAGGGTGGTTGTTTTGGTTTATTGTCATAATTGTATTCTGGCATAATCCATTGTAACTGGGGAAGAGTTAAATAACTTTAAATGGTGGGGAAGATAATAAGGAAATAATGACTGAATAGTAAAAAAAAACCATTAAAGCCCCGTGGGAGCAGGGCATGGTCTCAGCCTGAGCCTGACACCAGAGCCTTCCTCAAATACTTAACAAAGTTTGACTTCGTACCAAAAAAGTTTCTTCTTGTGATGCAGGTATCTTCTCTCACTGCTGACCCGTCCTGAGATGGAGCTGCTCTGAGCAGGAACAGAGTTCACCGAGCCCTGTGGCCAGAAGTGGAGCGACATTTCCATGTGCTTGGCTTTCCCGGGCTGGCAGATCTCCTAAAAGAGTAAATGGGCGGTCCAAAGTTCAGTGCGTTATATACAGTGATTAGTTCAAGCTGATTGCTAGGCAAAGGTGCTTCAATATAACTATTACATCATCCATTCCTAAAGGGTTATTTTTAATAAAGAGTTTTAAAAATCGGATTGTTTTAGTCGCTTTCTCATTGTTGGGACACAAGGCCTAACACCCCCAATTTAAAAGAGGAGAAAGGTTTACTTCGCCTCACATTTCAGTCCACACTCAGCCAGCTCCAGAAAAGGAACAGCGTGGCAGAAGGGCTGGTCGAAGAAAAGCTGGTCACGTCATGACAGACAGGAAGCAGGGAGAGTCAAAAGAGGACCCAGGAGGGAGATCCATGCAGCTGGGCCCATGCTGGCAAACCTTTTAGAGCACTCAACGATCACGGCCTACCCACTGTGGCCCATGTGCCGTGCCATAGGCCTGCCATCCCCTGGTGACCCGCCTCTTCCAACACTGCATTTAGCTGTAAACGCAAAAGTGAACAGACGGACCAATAATGATAGCATCTCCAACATGCAGTCGACTCCCAGACCCCATCTGTGATGGCATGAAGCCAGGCGAGGGGGCAGGGAAGCCATGTAAATCATAGCATTCTGCCCCTGGACCCCTAAAACTCATGCACACCTCCTTATGCAAAATGCATTTAGTCTACCTTGAAGTTGCCCGAGCCCTAACAGTTGCAACATTACTGCAATGTCTAAGACCAAACTCGCCTCTGAAACTTAAAGCAAACTCCTAGCTGTGAGCACCTGCAAATATGAAAAAGAAAGTTTTAAACACTGCCAACAGGGCCGGCCAAATAGCTC